TTTATGAGAAGAGCAACCTCACTGGGTGCTGTTCTGATAATCACTATATTGTATACAGTCACATTTGTCACTGTGCACCTGAATTTCATATAGTGTATTTTTAAACCATCCATTACAAATACTGTGCCCATCTTGAACAAGGCCATTTACCCAGTCAGACTGTGAGCATTGTTAGAGTCATCCCTTAGTTAATCATGTTTACAACTATATAGGATGTAAAGATACTGCAGTTAACACTCTAATGGCTTTGGTGAATCCTGCGTAGATAAAAGCAAGGTGGCCCAAATTGAAAAATGGGCAGAAGACCTAAATAGACATTTATCCAAAGAAGACATACAGATGGCCAGTAGGCACATGAAAAGATGCTCATCATTGCTAATTAGAGAAATGCAAACCAAAACTACAATGAGGTACCACCTCACACCAGTCAGAATGGCTGTCTTTAAAAAGTCTACAAATAATAAATGCTAGAGAGGGTGTGGAGAAAAGGGAACCCTCTTACACTGCTGGTGGGAATGTAAATTGGTGTAGCCACTAAGGAAAACAGTATGGAGTTCCTCAAAAAACTAAAAATAGAGTTGCCATATGATTCAGCAATCCCATTCCTGGGCATTTAACCAGAGAAAACTATAATTCAAAAAGATACATGCACCCTTAGTTCATAGCAGCACTATTTACAATAGCCAAGACATGGAAACAACCTAAATGTCCACTGACAGATGAATGGATAAAGAAGATGTGGTACATATATACAATGGAATGCTACTCAGCCATAAAAAAGAATGAAATAATGCCATTTACAGCACAATGGATGGACCTAGAGATTATCATACTAAGTGGAGTAAGCCAGAAAGAGAAAGACAAACACCATATGATTTCACTTATATGTGGAATCTAAAATACAACACAAATGAACATATCTATGAAACAGAAACAGACTTAACACATATAGAGAACAGACTTGTGGTGGCTGGGGGAGGGGGGAGGGGAGGTGGGGGAGGGGGAACTGGGAATCTGGGATGAGCAGATGCAAACTATTATATACAAAATGGATAAACAACAAGGTCCTACTGTATAGCACTGGGAACTATATTCAATATCCTGTGATAAACCAGAATAGAAAAGAATATAAAAAGAATATATATCTGTATAACTGAGTCACTTTGCTATACAACAGAAATTAAACACAACATTGTAAATCAACTATACTTCAATAAAAAAATTTTTTAAAAACAAGTGTGGCCCACAACAACAGTTACTAGAATTTTTTTAGTCATATCTTTCTTTGTACAGTTTTATTTAATAATCCTAGGTTTTCTCACCTGGAGTTTATCCTTCCTCTTTCCATAATTAACATAAATAAGTCTCTTTCTCTCCATGGTTCTACTGTTTATACTTACTACAAATTAATTTCATTTCATAAAATTTAGTTTTATTAACGCTAAACTCAGAGTTTTTGTATATCCTAATTTAAACAAACAAAAAAGCTTTTATAGGAAAAGTGCTAAATGATATAAGATTGTATGAGCAAAATCCAAATACCTCTCACCAGCAACAAATTTGTAACACTTTACAGGTGGTATGGTAAATTAATTTTCCTACTATTATGAAGTAGTTGGGAATAAAATAATATTAATGATTGAACATATTTAAATAAAGTCTTTTTAAAATTTTCAGTCTTCCTCTAAAATGTCTCATTTATTGAATTTACAGGGAAATGGCTAGCGTGCCAATCAATGGACAACCAAATCTTAATTTTTGGAGCACAGAACAGATTTAGATTAAATAAGAAAAAAATTTTTAAGGGCCATATGGTAGCAGGCTATGCTTGTCAGGTAGACTTTTCACCAGACATGAGGTAAGTTTAAACCTTTTCATGTATTCCTATATTCATATATAATGATATAAACTACTGCTGTACAAATAACACTGTACAAATCACTTTTATATATGTAATTGTATGAGAATTGTTCAGATTGTCAAAATGCCAGATAAAAGGCAAGAACAAATTAAGACAGCTACATTTGGCTTTTTTTTAAAGTTCTTTAGTCTGTCTCTTTATATTGTTTAGTTCTGTGCCCTTTAACCACATAATGAATCCCTGTCTTTATAGGCTATGTCCTACTTTCTTTCTGCGTTTCTAAGCAAGGCTGGAAGGACTGTAATCTCTATATTGCTGTGATTGAATGAGCACCAGAAGAATTAATCCTGTATTATAGGGTTGAAGTTAACAGTTTCACTACAGCTTTTCTGTGCTGAAACCTCAAATCCATCTTCTGGTCACACTAGATTTCTGAAGCCTACAGCCTTCCTAAGAGTGAAACTCTGCATTCATTCCCCTATTGTTAGCTAAAATATATGGGTATCACTAATTTAGAAATCCCTATAAACTTGTATGTTTAACCTGGTAATTGGGATTTAGACTCCTACCTCTGAGTGAATCTTGGATATATTCAGAAGCTGTTGGAGCCAAAAATAATTATGAAGGTGGTAGAGTCCACTATAGTTGAATGGGTCTACATGTGTTTGCTGGCTCTGTATGAAATTGGTTCCCTTACACTGTTTCTGACTGTCTAGAGAGTGATTGTGATACCACATTCACTGTGGCCCCTGGCTCTCCCAATCTTCCAAGTTAAAAATAATTTTTCACTCTTAGATTGGTCACTCAGTGGGGAGGTTTTCTGATAGAAGTTTAAATTATAGACTGCTTTATACTCTACCTTATTATTCTAAGTATTATATAATCACGGTGATTTTTTTACGTTAAGGTGAAAAAGATAAATTATTTCTCTGTTCCTCACCCACTTTACCAGTTGAAGGTGTTTGAATAATTTGAATTTATTTTTCTTCTCATTATAGCTATGTGATTTCAGGAGATGGAAATGGAAAATTAAACATCTGGGACTGGAAGACCACAAAACTCTACAGTAGATTCAAAGCTCATGATAAAGTGTGTATAGGTGCAGTGTGGCATCCTCATGAAACATCTAAAGTCATAACTTGTGGTTGGGATGGTCTCATTAAATTGTGGGATTAATGGGATTAATCCTTATACTATCTGGGATCATTTTTGATCCAATATCATATTTAACTATATTTAATTATTAAATGTGTTAAATGACAACTTGATTTACAGATTATGATTTTCTTACGTGGCCTTATGAAGTTGAACCATTGTTTAAAAAGAAAAAAACTTTGTAAATTTGGCTCATATAATTTCATTGGCAACTTCATTTTGTTCTTTATAGATGTTATTTATACAGAGAATGACCATTAACTTTATATTTGACAAGTAGTTATTTTTGGCAGGCAGTTTGGGTTTACCCCCATGACGTACTGAAAGGATCCCTTTAGAGCTAAGAAGGAATCCCTAGTGGATTACCTCTTCAACAAAAAGGGAAGAACAGGGATGGTATAATTTAACGTGAATCTGAAAGAAGGATAAAACCACCCACAGTTACTGTTCCCATTATTTTCAGTGGGTCAAGTTCTAATCTTTCGGATTCACGAGTTCCACTATTTTTTATGACATATGTTGTGTCTGTTTAGTTGTAAGCCAGCAATCTTCTCTGACTGCAGCATTCCTCTAATTATTAAACAATGTAAAATAAAAATCAGTCCAGAGTTCTTTTCTTGACTTTCTTCCTGATCAGTATAGACAGGATTGTATATAATTAGAGAATTACATTATTTTTGAAGACGGAACTCAAGAGGATGAATCAAGACTTTGAACTGTATTTGTATTTACTGTCCAATAAAGACCTGGCTACACTTTCAAAAATCAGGGTCTCCTAGGTCACTCACCTCTTCACTGTTGTTACTACTGAAATACTCCTCATAGGAGATTGGATGTGAGGACATAGTTCAAAATGTCAACTTGTAATTTCTTTGAAGCTGTATGTTTTATCTATTAAAATTAATCTGATTTTTTTATGAATATATTCAATAAAACTTTTTAAGATTAGAAAAATTTTAAACTTCTTTCCAAATCTTTGGGTAAAATTGACACTCCAGAAAGATGGCTAAGTTTCCCAGTTTGAGAAGCAGGGACTGTGATTGGTTAAAAAAATTTTTTTTCAACTTCAGATTGTGAACTCAAGATAGCCTCTTAAATATAGTAACCAAGAGCACTTTAGTTTGACGAGACATTTCTCCTGTTTTTTTACAAATCTATGTTAGATGTTTGAATGTAGTGTGAAATATTTCAATACCATGCTGTAAAAGATTGGTTCATAGCTGCTCAGAGTGCTGACTTGGAGACCAGAATCATGTTGAGTGTTGATATCCTAGGAACATCATTAGCTCTGAGTCCTGTGCTATCAAGAGCAGTTCATGCTCCATACCCTTAGAACTTCCATTTTTAAACATTAAATTTAAAAAGACCTGGTATAGATGACCAGGTGCTATAGCCACATATAAATAAATTTCAAAGAAGAAAATAGAAAAAGAGAATAAAAGTGGTAGAGATGTATTTTTGGACACACAGGCACTCAAAGAAATAAGAATACACTGCCTGGCTGCTGTTATTTCTATTTCTTTATCTGCTGGGAAGGGTGCCTACCATTTCCTGGAGAGGAAAAAGTTCAGACAGGAGCTTTTCTTTAGTCCCAACCACTGGTTTTAACAAATGTGAATTACTGAAATATGATGGGACAAAAAGTTAATCATACATTTGAACTATCTTGTTCAGCACCAGTATTGTGTATGTTACAAATCATAATTTCAAAATATGGGTTTACTTCATTGTGTTTCTAACTGTTTCTAAACTAAGGAACTGTATATAAAAGCTGTCGCTTTTTTTAAAAGACTGTATTTTTAAATAAAGCACTTTTGTAGAAAGTGTTATCAAAATTTTCGTTCTTAGTCTCCTTTTAAGTCTTAACTCTGAGACACTAAACCATTTGCATATTTTAAATGGGTCATTTTGATTTTCTGGGGAGAAATGCTTTAAAGGTGAGTATAGTATATTAATGGGTTTATTCTAAATAAATGACAAAAATACAGGGCAGTGTCCTCAGAGCACATAGATTAAGTTTAACACAGTCCATATTTATTCACTTGGTGCCACTGAGTCATGATTGCATCCATTTTAGAGTATACAAATGAATGGGGTCTTTTCCAGCATAAGAAAGTTTACAGATGATGTTATGACTGGAATTAAGTGGTTACCATCTGGCTCCTTTTCCTCACTGCAACCCTTTTGTCATACCCAGGACAGATTTCCTTCCTAAAAGTTAGAATAAAAGTGATGCTTTAGTGAAGGTTTAATGAATATTTCAATACTGAAGCACAGGCTGAGAATATGTTGTCCTAAATAGGGAGCCCGTTTTAAGATAAGGAACAGGGCGTAGCCTCAAACAGGCACTTCTCTAAGTAGAACAGTACAGAGTGATTTTTGAGGATACATTGTGAGGCTGGTTGATGTCCTTAGCATGTTTATTAATTACCTGGAAGAAAACATGGACAATGAAATAGCAAACCCTTGGATGGTAGCTGTAAGAATTGTAACACTAGCAACAATTATAGAGACTCTACTTGAAGAATACTGTTTCTCAGAGTGTAGACTGAGAACCACCTGGAGATGGTGTCACTTACTGAGATACAGAATTCAGAAGAAAGTAGTGGTTGGTTAAGGAAACCATAATGAATTCAGGTATGGAGAAGGGAAGTGTGAAGTGCCATCCAGGCCAAAATATCCATCAGCAGTATTAACTTTGGGTCTCAAAGTGAGACCTAGGGAACACATGCTATATTTCATCAAAGATGCAGGTTTTTCACATTTTTAACATCTCTGAAATAGGGCTATGTCTTAAAATCAATGATGTGTCATAGTTTAATTGGTGGCATTCTTTCTTAATGGATCATGAAATAACTGATGAAATACAGTGTAAACAAGGCAATTACTAAGGGACCTAAGAAGAAGAAGAGAAGATCCAGGGGAAAGAAGATTCCATCTTAGCAGCTGGTTCAAAATTCATGTTATCAAATATTTATTTGATCAGTGGGTAAATAAAGTGAATGAACTAGCAAAAGACTGCAATTTTACAAATACTATATATTCATTCCCTGGTTCAAAGTCAGCACTTTTAGTAAGTTCCCCAGATGATATGCACACGAAGAATGAGAATTAGTGGAGTCTGAGTTTATCTTGAGTATTTCAGAAGCTACACTGTTTAGAGTGTGTAAACTCAGAGAAATTTAGCTAACCAAAAATATGTACACGTGTGTGTATGTGTGTGCATGTATTTACATGCATGTATGTGAATATGATATACATTTTACATGTTTATATGTACACCTTCCATGTTCAAAGTCACTTTAATAATTGTAGAAACAATTTTCTCAATCTAAACACTGAAATTTTTTTTTTTTTTTTTTTTTTAAACACTGAAATTTTATCTGAAACTTAAGTCACAACTTGCAGCCAGAGTCCTTAGAGCGGCTTTATTTTTAGTGACAAAGTGATAACTCCTTTGCTTTTACAGCTTCCTATAACTGCAATAACTGTCTTCAGATGATTTTTTAGCTCCCCACATCCTACTCTCCAACCTTCAGCATTTTTGAGATCTGAGGGACTAACTCAAATCTCAAACATTTTGTATTTAAGTATGTGTTCTAGTATAGCACTAACAGAAATACATGAGCCATATATATAATTTTTAATTTTCTAATGGCCACATTAAAAAGGGGATATTAATATAAATAATATATGATCCAAAATATTCTTTCAACATTCAATTATTTTTTAAATTAATATTTTACTTTTCTCATACTAAGTCAGATCTGGTGTGTATTTTACACTTAACAGCACATCTCAATGCAGACACTAAATTTTCATCAAATATTTTATCTGTTTCACACAAAGTAGATTTACATGCCTAAGTTGTTCCAAACAGACCTACTAAGAGTTTTCTAATAATTGAATCAAGTATAAGTTTTTAACTTAATTAAAAGTAAATAGAATTTAAAATTCATCTCCTCAGTCATACTAGCCACATGCTAGGTGCTCAGTAGCAACATGTGGCTGCTGGTTACCATACTGTCCATACAATTCTAGTACCACTTTTTACACACAGTGGCTCAAATACCCAGCTTTACTGCTTCATCTTCTGAAAGACATTTTAAGGTTCAAAACTACTCATAAGATGTCTTATTTAAACAATATAAATGTTCATATTTTTCTGTACTACATTTTGGACAGTTTCCTCAGGTTTATCTTCCAGTTCACTTTTACAGTCTCTTCAGCTGTGTCTAATCTGTTTAATTCATTAAACTCATTCCAGTGACTATTTTTCCTTTGTGGTAGGTCTATTTGTACTTTTTTATATCTACCTGTTCTTCATGTCTTATTTTTTATGGTTTCTATATAGTCTTTTATGCCTTTAATCACATCTAATAATTTATATTATACTTTCTTTAAGATTGTTATTCTGTTATCGCAAATTCTTGGACTGAAAATCCCAGTGTATAATGTGTCTGTTAACTCTATCTCATGGTGGGCCATTTCCTTGTCAGTTGTAATTTTTTATTAGGAGTTCATCTTACGTGGGTCTTGTTTTTTGGAGGAAATACTTCGTAGTCCAAGCTGAAGGGTCCCTTTGAGTGGTTTTACATTTGCTTCTGCCATGCACCCCTGAGACATCACCCCCTAGAACCAGTTTTATATCTAAATTTTTCAGCTTATGGATTTCTTAACCACGTGACTATGGATTCAACTCTTTAAACAGGCTGAAGTTTTCAAATTCTCATGAGAAAATTTGATTTTCTCCAGAGCTATAGCAAGGGTAGACTTCCTTGTGCTCGGAGGAAGGGGGATAGGGGTAGTTTTTAGAACCCTCTTCCATCGAGATTGTAGCCCTCCAAGGGTCCCACTGCTTCAAGTATCTCACTCAGTTCCAATCCTTTCCCCCAACATAGCAGGCCTTATCTCTAATGCTCTAGGCCACTGGCCATCACTGGTATACCGAACTAGGACCACTGCAGTGTAGATTCCTGCTCTACCTCTCTGGTTCTAGGGTCCCCCGGGCTTTTTGTGCCTGAAGATTTTTCTTTCTTGGGCATTCATATATGTACATAAACACATACACATACATACATAGATAAATGCATACATATATATTCACACATATACATACAGAAGGATCACCATAAAGATATATACTTAATCTAGTATCTTTGGATATTGCCACTTTGTTAGGATAGTCTAAAAACACAGAAGTGTAAACAAGTGCAGTCTGAAACATTCTGATTTTTAGAACCTTGTGAGTTTAAGTGTGTTATCCTAAAAAGGTACTTTACCTAAGGGCACTTCACTCGACTGGAGAGGCATCATAATGGATTCATCTTTTATCTGGGGCTTTTCTTCTGAATAAACGTATCATTTGGATTCTCCTGAATTTATCCTAAGACTTTATAGCACACAAATCAAGAAATTACCTAACCACTGTCTAAGCCTTCTCTAATCATAAAATGCTAGAATAATGAGATTTTCAAGCTAGAAGAAACCTTAGAAATCAAATATTCCAACCTAGAATAAGAAAATAGGCCGATGAGGGTGATGAATTGCTTGGTATCACGCAGCTGGTTAGCAGCTGGGTCAGAATCTTTCTCCCTTCATCCTGCTATCCTTTCTCTTCTACATACTGCCAACTTAAGTATGTATTTTTAAAACTGTCAGATTTGTGTTGTAATCTTTGTGGCTTCCAGCTTGCTTTCACTGAGGTAGTTTTAAAGACTGTATTTATTTCATCTTTTAGTAAAACAGAACCTATAGCTAAAGAGATTCTCATAGCCTCTTCCTTGAGAGTTAGACTTAATGGTAACTGCCCGAAAGGACTTTTCTTGGTCAGACTTCAAATATCCTGGAGAACATAATACCCGCTCTCACCTTGTTTGTACTCTTTGAACAACTACCTTAAATTTTTTTGTCCTAGAAAAACAATGTGATTTTAATCATTTTTGTAGAAATACCAGCCCCTGTCCTTTACATCATACCTTCTTTCTCTCATAAACTGAAAAATATTCTCCATGCTACTGTGAGTTGTGACCAAATACACTGACTCTAAAAAGTGTGTTTTCTGGGAATTGGTTAAAAAAAAAAAAAAAGGACAATGAGGAATGAGAAAGGAAGATTGAGGTTTTATATCCTAGGGTACCTTCTACCAATACTTGAGCCTTTAATTATTATTGTATTTATTCGATTCAATTATTATATAGCTCTCAAGTCCCTGAGGTCAAGAAAGATCTTCAGGTTAGCATCCTTTAATCAGGAATGAGGACTATTGCACGCAGTGCAATAAACCACCATGTCAAGAAAAGGACAAATTGTGCCTAAAATTAAATTAACCAAAATGAGAAATATTGGTCCATCTAAATTCCAAAGACATTTTTAATACCAGAAAAAAAGTCAATAACAAATGATGATGAAATAATTTCACTGAAAAATCCTTTGTGAAATAGCTTTCTTTATATTCATATTCAACAATATTTATGGAGCACCTTTAACCTAGCAGGCTCCATGGTAGGCACTGGGAATACTGACATGGTGTCTACCCTCATGGAGCTTACAGTCTGCTGGGAAAGCCATTACACAAGCAGATCCATTAAAGTAAAAGGAGCGTGAAGCGGGGGAGAATAGAAGGCATTGTAAGGAGACATAGCTGGGGGCCTTCAATATGGGAGTCCCTGAGAAAACGATGTTTGATCTGACACCAATCCTTGAGAAATAATACTTTCTTGTACAGATAACTAATAGCTTATTTTTATTGATACATAATTGTGGTTTCTCAATAATGTTATGGAACCCACTTGGACTTTTGGTTATTATATATACCCACCTAGGGGCGATGTCAAAATATCCAATGACTGGTAATGCATGACATAGAGCAGTTAGAATAGAACCTAAACACAGGGATGGTGCAGGGTCCTGGAGGATGCCTATTGTGCTGTGCATTAATTGCTTGATCTTGGGGCGGTCTGGGGGTCTTGTGGGAGGCAATGCAGTGGAGGAGAACCTCTGGAGGACTGAGGACCACAGTCATTCACCAACTCTGCTCCCTGGTACATACTGATTGCATATCTGTCCTATATATACTGAGTTTCTATATTAAAATAGTCTAGATTAGAATCCAAACTTAACAGGAAAAAAAACCCTTATTACTTCAGACAATCTTATTGCATAAAACCAATCACTAAGAAAAACTTATAATATTTTATATGAGAATATAAATTGCTAGTTTTACACAGCAATTAGTTTTAACAAGTGTTGGGGACTAGCATTTCTCCATACAGCGCTAAATATAAAGTGTGACAATATTAAGCTTGCTTGATTTACTTTTCTTAAGGACAGAAATACAATAAAATTATAGAATTTCTAAATTTAAGCAGTTTAAGAATACCTTGAATCTTTGGATTACGATTTCATGTGATAAGTAAAGTTCAAATACCTCTTTAAATGTAAGAAAAAGGAACATATTTTAGCATACAATTAAATGCACTGAATTCACAAAGAACCAGCAATTGGCTAGTACAAAAAAGAATTATGTTATTGCTTAAAAGGCAAAATAAGTTTATCTCCAAAAGAAAAGAATTATATTACGTAATTGAGCTTGTAGGTACCTACCATTGTATAGTCAAGTAGAATAATCTGTTTAAATGAGGCCTTCATTTTTCATCTGGAGAAATATGACGACGAGGCTGGCTCCCTGGTATTAATTCAAGCTTTGCAAAATCCAAACATGTAAAACTTAGGAAATGCAAATCTTGTACTGTATTTACTATATACTAAAATCTTATAGTCAAAGCAGAAATGCTTACATGAATAACTGATTTGGACTAAACACTGTAAATTCATGAATTTGCTTTTGTTCCACCCTGATGTAAATACTAGTGGACCTTCAGTCAATTCTAACATAAGTTTGTTTATCTCTTCCTGGCTCACTTCATTTGAACTATGTCAAATAGTTACAAATATTTATATGATAACCTATTATAACTGTGTCAAATACAATCACTCTAAGAAAAGGGAGAACGGGAAAATTGTTTTTCTTTGACTTTAATCTCAAATTGTGATTTAGCACAACCTTTTGTGCTAAAAGGTTGACCTCTGAATCTCTTACATCCTCATACGTCTTTCATCCAAAAAGGAACAGTTTTTAAAATCATTTGAGAAGAGCATTATTAAATTTCTATCTTCAGATTCATTTATGAGCACTGCTCTGGTAGGAGTTAATTAAGAGATGTATGTCACAGATATTCACATCTGAGCTCATATATCTGCAGGTCAAAGGCGAGTTTGAAACAAAGGAAACTTACACTACACTTCCAAGTGACTGGGCCTTCCCTAAAATCTAGGAGCAAAGTGCGGCATATTGGGACCAATGAGGGCCAAGGGTCATTTCCAGGACTTGCAAGATCTTTCCTGGCAACCTGAATATATTGACAGAGAAGCTGTTGGGACCCCATATTTTTTCAGTAAGCCTCCATTTGGTGGGCACATTTTAATTAAGTAGATTGTTTAAATTAAACCTGCATGCTACAAAAATGATCCCAACTCTAACAGCAGGTCTGGTATTAGTAAATTTGTAGGCTTTTCTTCCCATTTACTAATAGGGAGGCAAAAATATGTCCTTACGTTTGTCAAAGGCTATTGAAGCAGACGGAGGAGGGGCCCTGCATGGGCTTTGGGATCTGGCAGTCTGAGATATGGATTCCTGCTTCACCATTTGAACAATCTGAATAAGGTATTTAACCTCTCAGAGTTTCCTTACCTGTATAATTGGGAAAATTACACTTCCTTATAGGACTGTTTGGAGAATTAGGAATAATCTATGCACAGTACTGGGCACATAGTAAGCTCTCAATGAATAGCAGCTCTTGATTTTGTATGTTTGTTTTTTGTATTTTGTTTGTGTTGTTTTTGTGGTGCTCCTGGCACCTAGGGGGAGGGCCAGGGATGCTGCTAAACATCCTACAATGCACAGAATGGCCCTCCCTCCCCCAACAAAGAATTATCCAGCCCCAAATGGCAATAGCGCTGAGGTTAAAAAACCCTGGCCCACACAATAAACATAATAATTCTAGAGGCAGGGAAACCATAGCAACAGTCAGAATATTCATCACAAATTTCAAACTCTCCATGAAGGGAATGAAGGACAGTCTTAGAAAAAAAATCATAAAATAAGTACAAATAACAATTGAACAGGCTGCCTAGTAGGTGGGTGTGGGTGGGTGTGTTTGGGATTTATTTTGAGTTTGTCTTTATTTTTTTCTTAACAGTACTTCCATTCTTGCTTCAGATATATATAGTGTGATGAAGTCAATGTTCTGCACCACCAATCCGGAATCAATGGTAACCTGTCCTGTACAAAGGGGGCTTTCAGTAATGCCATTAATCTTCAAGCCCATGAGTTAAAAATCTTGGTATGAGTGTGAATACATCTAAAACCTAGTCACACTAACTAGATACTTAGGATTAGTATACTTCATACCTTGGTATATAAGAAGGGTTAAAAATTTTAATGTATAAAAAGATCTGTGTTTACTTTAGTGTATAAAATTTTTATTAAAAAATGAAAGACAATCTGTGATATAATCCAAACAGGACTGAAGTTAACTTTGTTTTGGAGGCCACACCATGCAAACTAACAGTAAAAACCACTTTTGAGTTTGATAAACTTTTTGTACTTTTGAAATACCTAGGGACACTGAAAGCAACTAAACTGTTATTTCAAATCAAAGTTATTCAAGCTGGTCCTCTCACTTCAATGACTTTTATTAGTGTACTATAAGTTTTAATATAAAAAACCTCATTTATATTTTAAAAAATCATCACTACTAATTCAGAAAGTCTTATTCCCTTTTGAACCCAAGTTAGTAAGATGATATAACTCTATTGTATTTTGGTTTCTCACCTGAGGAATGGTATTTTCAAACCACTGCAAAAAGCAGAAAGCCAACCCAGGGCATGTCTGGGGTGGAAGAAGGTAAAACGATGGGGAGAAGGAATAGAGGTCTAGTAGTAATCAGTATTTTATGCTCTCCCAAAATTTCTTAAATGAACAGTGTATGTATTCCTGCTCTCTTGGGATATAAAAAATACCAGAAGATGTACTTAATTTATAATAAGGTAATAATTTGATTTATTTTTATACTATTTAATTTATTTGAAATAGGATTTTTGAAAATCATTTGTAGGGGTAAATGTCTAATCCTGTAAATAGAAATGATAGAGATTGTTTGAACTACTGAGAACATGCATTATCTGCTTAATTAAAAAATATATACAAAAAAGGATTGGTATTACCAAAACACACTGTATCTGTCCCGGGAAAGAGAGAGACTCTGGCCCTCAGGCCACAGGCTTACAATGAATGCAAACTGGCAGCAAGGAAAAACCTAATCTTGGAGATAACAAAAAAAAAAAAAAAATTTGACACCATAGGCAAGTCGGAGGTTGAGAAATCAGGTTTGAAGACACCCAAGTTCTGCTTTGTGTTTAGTTTCATAGGAACAGAGGGTTTTAAGGCTGAGCATGAAAAGAATCCTGAGTTGAATAACTTGATACTCTAGTCTTTTAAACTCAGTTACAGAATTTGGTGTGTCTGAGTTCCCAGAAACCAGAATCAGTGGTTCTTATAAAGTCACAGCATGGCCTCAACAAAAACTGAGGAAGAATAATTGAAATCTACAAGGCTGTAAAGAATGTTATTGACACAGTGAACAAGAAAATCCTAGGAAAAGGTGAGTTAACATCAAATGAAAGGCCCTATTTTAAACAGCAGGCTACACATTTAAGGATCTCATCAACCCAGTAAAAACAGAAATGTGATATTTCTTTTTCATGGTGGTAAATTCATGGATTACAGATACATAATTGATAAGTGTGGGACTATCTTCCAAGCTGAAATGAAAGAGGACAAGCATCCCCACTCTGTCAGAGGCAGACAGGCAAAGAGCCTGGGTTTGGGCAGATGGAGATTGACTACCGTGGCACTCCTGTGTCCATCCCCTCAGCAAGTGTTAACTGTTCCCCCGCCATGTGCGAGATGCCAGGCTACGTGTACTACAAAGGCAATAACACAATCCCTGCCTCAAGCAGGTCACAGGCTAGTGGGAGACTGGACAAGTAAACCAGAATAACTAGAATCATGGACATGATCCATGCTGCAAATATTTCCTTGAGTTGCTGATGACCTCCTGCATCCTATTTCCATCTTGTATTCACCCAACTCAGAGTATAACAGCTACTCGCATTGAAAATATCTTTCTTCAGGAATAGCTGAGGTTTAGATAAATCTTTGTAACTGTGAAAAAGCCTAAAATCCTGTAGTTCTAACTCTTTGAGGAGGCTGTACCAGAACCGCACAACACTGCTGTCACTGCCACTGACCTCAAACCCGGGCCAGTGGAGATGGATCTCAAAGATGAGCTGTCCAATTTGTTCAAAGACATCTTCCAGAATAAGATTTTCCAAAACTTTCCATTCTGCGCTTTCCAGATCTGCTTTGAGAACATCAATCTGTAACAAAATGATGAAATGAGATTAGCAGCGTCAATAAACATTGTTAAAAATACCACTGATATCAGAAGCATCACTGTGTAGCTACCTCCCAAGAAAGTAGAATTTTTCAAATTTTAGAGTTAGAAGTCTTTTTCAAATGGTCACTTATGACATGAATTCCTAACCTCACACCACACCAAACGTTAATATACAAATAATGAAATACCAGTCAGAAATCATGATGGACCTTCTTACTCTCTGCCCAGTGGGAATGGATGTCCAAGAAGGAGATGCTGGAGCATGTATATCACAAAGCACCATGTCCACAGCCTCTCCCCAGCAACCTATATGCTGCTCAGAGGAACCCAGCCATGTCCTGGCAGAATGGTAGCCTGCAGGGAGGGACTGACAAAGGGCCACTGCCTACAGGAACCATCTCAAAAAACCTTACTCCCCACCAACTTCATCAGGATTGGAAGCCAGGGAAAGAGTTCTCAGGTATCTGAATTCTGGACTTGAAAAAGAAAATTATTAACATTACTCCATGATTGCTTTAAAAAGTATATACCAGTACAGTGTTCTAAAAAAATTTCTAATAAAACCATTCTCTGTTCATTTAATGAATACACGTTCACATTCCAGGTGAAATGGAACCTAGGAAGAAGAGTAGGGTGGGAGAGATTTTGCAATTAATCAAGCTACGAGAAGCAGCTCCTTTCTGCTGACTTTGCACAAAATCCGTTAGAATAGCAGAATACCAAATACTTCCAGAAAGCAATGAAAGCTAATTACTTTGCTCCTGGCACTATGCTAAGTGCTTCACCTCACAATATTCATTTACTCCTCTCAACAATTCTACAAGGGTGTATCCCTATTTAAAGCTGAGAAAACCAGACTCAGAGATTAATCCATCCTCAGTCACATAGCTTGAGAGACAGTGGTGAACTCTGAACTGAGTCTGTCTACATGGCCCATGTTCTTAACCACGACATGATGTTGAATTCCCATAAACCACAAGAGGAAAAATGGTAACTCAGAGTTCCTAAAAGGCTTTGGTTTGGAAAATAAGGTGCTATTGGAGAGGGAGTAAGGGTCAGTGAGTACAAGTATAGTTATCAGCATCGCCATTTTACACTGGAAAGCAGAGCACCTTCCAGCTTAAAGAATCACTTTCCACATACATTATCTCAGCAAAACAGCCCTATAGGTAAGCAAGGATTTGGTAAAAATGACTTTTCTGCTGCCAAGAAACGGAGGGGGAAGTTAAAGGGGATAATTTGACCACACAGAGGAAGGCTGGCACATTCAGGCACAAATGGGAATAATTAACATGCAGGGAATCACTGCAATAGAGCAAAGCCTATAGCTCCAAGAGGTGACAGCAAAACCCTAAACAGCTCTTCAGGAAGCTGCTAACTGAAGTCACCAAAATCCTACCCATGAAAGTGAAGTATCTTTGACTTTTCAGAAGGATGAATAAGAACCAAGGCCAATCCTGCCCCAGCCTCTCCTTTCTCTCCGTGCATGTCTATTTGACAAGCTTCTCATTTGCAGCTGAGACATGAGGCTCTCAGTGAATGGTAAAATTCCTTGTGTCATTTCAGAGTTGACTGGAGGAGATGCATAGAATTCAGATATAACTGATCCAAGAAAATGGTCTTTGCCCGGCATACTGAGACCCTGCAGGAGAGGCTTTCACTCACTTGCCTTGAATAGTACCTCCTGGTCCACCAGAGAAAGAGTGATAGTAACAACCCCAAGAATATCAGGAGGCCTTAGAAAAGGCTAGATATCCATAAACCAGCTTTTTTGTTGTTGTTGTTGTTCAATGGTTCCAAAATCAAAGGGAAAAGTTTAAAGAAACAAAAGCAACTTTCTTTTCTAAAAGGAAGCGAGCAAAGGCAGGTTCCATGTGAACATATACAAGGCTGAAATAATTCTCGTGAATTGGACACAATAGAGTTAATTCACTCACTCTTCTTTTATCTCTGCTGCCCTGGCGCATTCTTGGCTTTGTTTAATCTTCAAAGTTTTAAGCAGAATATTCCTGAATTAGGGTAATTAGGCTGCCAAAAGAAATACTAAATCAAAACTTCACAGAATTTTTTAACTTATACAGAAAATATCCAAAATTCAAAATCAACATTTGTTGTGTCAGTTCACATAGTCAAGAATATCTTAGGTTTCTTACAGGTTTATTTTTTACTATGGCTTTCTGTGAGTTTGGATATATTGAATGTGATCAATAAATCAAAGTATTAGAGGGGCAGAGTAAACTTAATCAGCCTAAAATTTCAGCCTAAAATTGGCCTAAAAATTATATTGGTGAAGTGTAGACGAATATACTTAACATATTTTTTCAATCATATTTTTAAAACAAGCTATCAATCAGAAGTTATGAGCAACTGGACTAGAGCCTGCGAGCCGCAACTACTGAGCCCTCATGCCACAACTAATGAAGCCCGTGCGCCTAGAGCCCGTACTCCCCAACAAGAGAAGCCAGCGCAGTGAGAAGCCCGCGCACTGCAACAAAGAATAGCCCCCACTCGCCGCAACTGGAGAAAGCCCGCACACAGCAACGAAGACCCAACACAGCCAAAAATAAATAAATAAATTTATATAAAAGAAGTTATGTGCAACTGGAAAAAAACAAATTATTAGGCTAAGTCATAGCAAATACATGCTTTCTTTAGAAATGCAATTTTCATTTACAAAATGCTATTCCAACTAAAGAGCAAAAAGTATTTCAAACATGACCACACTCCCCCACCCCCTTTTGAATCCAGTGACTGAAAATTCTCCACTTCAATCAGAATTATAAAGGTTGATCTAAATCATGCAGCCCAGGGGTAGTACAGCACTGAGGAAGACATAGCTCTTTCCTATTTTCCAGCCTTAGTGCACAGACAGCCAAATGCGGTGAATAAAACACAGTTTTCTCTTCCAGTGTGCTTTTTCTATTTCTTGCATTTCAGAATGTTCTATTACCATAGCTATTTTGCAAGTGTAATTTCTATTATTACTGCATAATGCACCCAATATTATTGTTATTATAAGGTGCTAAACATCTCTGAATAAGGTATGCCACTCTTAAGATTCTAATATCAACTTTCAACAATTATGGCACTAAAAATCATGCAAATTACTATATCAGAATAATCAAGTGCCAATCCTAATACAGTTAGGTTAAATCAGGTTTCTTGAGAAAAACAACTAAATGTTAGCTCTCTGCAAACTCTGGAATAACTGAGGACATATTCTTAAAGGAAGTAGATGAAGCAACCTATTTGGTATAAATTCAGAGGCATTAAAGTAGTCCTCCCATCAAAGTTATCTCCTTTTCCTTGTGCCTGAAATATATAATAAATCACCTTTTATAGAACTTTTTGAGGAAATGAGAATTTTAATTTTAACTGGATTAAGATGTGAGGCCATCTGGCAGCTTCCTCTTCATGGGCACAGTTTATCCTGTGTTCATCCACCCAGAAATGCAGAGATGAGAGGAAAGGAGGGTAAGGTGCACTGGCATGGGTATTAGTTTGCTAGGACTGCTGTAACAAAGTACCACAGATTGTGTGGCTTCAAAAACAGAAATGTGTTGTCTCATTTCTGGAGGCTAGATGTCCAAAATCAAGGTGTCCAACACTGTTGGTTCCTCTGAGAGCTATGAAGGATACTCTGTTTCTTGCCTCTCTTCTAGCTCCTGGTGGTCTGCTGGCAATCTTTAGCATTCCTTGGTTTCTTCATCTCTCTGATCTATGTCTTCATCTTTATACAATGTTATTCCTGTGTATGTGTCCAAATTTCCCCTCTTTATAAGGACACCAATCATATTGGATTAGGGACCCACCCTCCATCATTATGACCTCATTTAAACTAATTACGTCTGGCTTGACTCTGACTCTATTTCCAGTTATGATCACATTCTGAGGAGCCAGGGGTTGTGACTTCAACGTACGTATTTTGGGAGCACACAACAGTGTTTGAAGTAACTACTGCTACAGAGCTTTGGCAAGTATGTGTCAGGAGCCAGTTTTCTGGGGCCAGTGCCTAGGGAAAGTGTCCTGTACCAGAGATCCAAGGGCAAGCAACTATCTGAGGGAATTATGGATGTTGTCCTGCTGGTCCCCTACATCAGCCAACACTGACAGCTCCAATCTTGCTAAATGTCAAACCCAAGGCAGATCAACAAGCCTCCAAAGCCAATTAAAACCATCGTCATTAAACCCCTTTGCTTCATTCCCTGGGTCTTTCTTGGCCACACAACCAGGCCCAGCAGGTGTGGCTCCTGTTTGGCACCCTCCTGTTCCCTAGCCCATCCCTCTCCCTCCTCTGGAACTCCTTCAGGCAGTCAGTGTCCTCATGCCTACAGCTCCCCACCTGAGCCTTTTCCCCTTTGAGGGGGTTCTCCAGCAGGATAGGAAGATTTTGTTACATGCCTGCTAACTTTCAAGAGGGCAAAAGTGGAAGCTGCAACACCAGCATCATTTCTGCTGCATTCTATTGGCCAAAGCAAACCACGAGGCTAGCCCAGATTCAAGGGGAGATGAAACAGATGCCACTCTTGAGGGGAGGAGTGGCATACACAGAAACGAGGAGATAGTCATTGTTCACAGCCATGTCTGCAGATAATTGACCCCAATGATTGAAAACAATATTATTTTATATACAAATCCATGAATGAACTACAGTATTACCATAGACATGAGCCTTAAATGAACACAAGCAACACTCCAGGAAAAATGAATAATAAAGCCTTTATTCATCAGAATATTATTAAAGAAGGGACATTAGGGTATTCCCTGGCAGTCCAGTGGTTAGGACTCCATGCTTTCACTGCCAAGGGCCCGGGTTCAATCCCTGGTTGGGGAACTAAGATCTCACAAGCCTCGCAGTGCAGCCAAAAAAAAAAAAAGAAGGGACATTAATTAAAACACGGTATTTTCTGTTAGATCTGGCTTTCCTTGGAAGTTGACAGAGAACCTGGGATATCCAATGGATTAAAGATGACTAATAAA